AGGACAGTTGTCCTCTGCACCTCTAGGGGCCGTCCCCAGGACAGTTGTCCTCTGCACCTCTAGGGGCCATTGCTAGGACAACTGTTCTGCACCTCTAGCAGCCCTGCTATTCACCCAGCGGCCTGGCAGCACCCACCATCCGCATTCAGCAGCATTTTACAGCTGTGCCACCCAGTACCTCATGGCACAGGGGCAGCAACAGAGCCGGGCGATCAGAGCCTCTGGAGCATGCTGCCCCGCACTAGACACCAGAAATACAGCAAGATAAATACATAGAGTGTACGCTCTGTAGCCAGTACTACCCTAAAATACCAACAAAATTGTTTCCTCACAAGTCAATATTAGAATCAAAAAGCCATTGTGCACTGTTTAGCTGGCAGAGTGCAATTTTCTGCTAGATCTGCCACCCAGCAATCCCAAGAGAAGTGACTCAGACCTCAACGACTGAGCTCGTTCGATGGCACATTAATAATCTCTGGTTCCTCAGCCACTGCAGAAGGGAACAGGAAGGATGTGCAAATCCTCTACCTCAGGCTCTCGAAGATCCCCAGCCCCAAACTCACAAGAAAGGCAGCACAACGCACGCTGCTGAGGGCAGAGTGACTGCCGGCAGTGACACCACACAGGTGCACAGGCCACCCCGACTCCGACTCCGTTCTGTCCAGGAGCAGGGCTGCAACCTGACACCAGCAGGCATGGATGAGCTGAGCTGCAGCGAAGGCTCTTGATTCCCACTCTGCTTTCATTCCAGGAGCCATGGAGCCCAGCTCCACTAAGAAGTGTCCTGAAGACCCCAGTGTCAAAAACTCCTACAACGAAGTGATGACTAAACACTTCTTCCTCAAATAAAAAATATGCTCTTGATGGTCCAAAACTCTCTCTTTGAAGGCCAAGGGTACCCACAAATCCTCAGGCAAAACTGCCAAAAATCTCTTCCCCTATCTTTCACAAAAAAAAAAAAAAAAAAAAAAAACCAGTTCCCTCTTACTTTATCTTCTTAAATCCTAATCCCACAGAAGGAAAGTAACCAAAGAAAGTAAATGAAGGCTCCTGTACCACTCTTCAAAAACAATGAGAATACACAAAGTTTGGAGCACCTCAGTGACTCAATCAATACTCTGTGATTCAGGCAAAACCTCTCTCACAGATGCGATCTGCCTGCAGCTCACGAGTCCCACTTTCTGGACACAGGCTGCACCAACAAGAACATTCTGAGACACAACAGAAGCCTGTGAACTGCAAGCTAAAGCACCTGGGTGCACGCACTGCCCTGCAACTCTTGGTGCCGCGTACACAGGTGACTGACTCACAAGTCAGGGACAGTCTGGTAGCAAGAGAGCTGTAGCTGCCTGGTCCCACTTGGGAGTGTGAGGAACTTCACAGTTGCTGCTTAATGTGGGAGGAGGACGAGCCAGCATATACAGAAGCCTAAAAAGACCAAGTGTGGCCAGATTCCTTATGTTAATTCTCCCAGCACCTCTCCCCAAGCAAACACACACACACACAGTATATATTTACCAAATAGCCAATAAGCTAAATGGCTGAGAGGGTTTTAAAAAAGTAAAAACTTACTTTTCATACACCAGCTCCTCATCGATGGAGAAATAGTGGGTATGTATTGTGCTTTTTGGTCTATTCCTTAAAGTAGCAAAATATAACCGATCTGAAAGACAAGTTTAAAAGACAGAAGAAAACATATGAGAAGTAGGGAAGTGAGATGAAGGCGTGATAATGCACAAAAGGTCCAAAATAGCTAGCTACAGGCACTTTAAAGACTCATTAACCCGGAACATAGCTCCTCCAGAAAGCGAGACCCAAACACCTGACCAGAGCACAGCAGTGGGACACGCCAGAGACAGAGGACCAGAGGCGGCCTGGGTCGGGGAGGAGGCACCTGCTCTCCCCACTGTCAGACCAGGAGTGCGGCACAGAGCTCAGCACCCACACAGCTGGACCTTAAGTCCGGCTCGCACCTGCACAGCTGGACCCTAAGTCCGGCTCGCACCCGCACAGCTGGACCCCTAAGTCCGGCTCGCACCCGCACAGCTGGACCCTAGGTCGGGCTCACACCCCCACAGCTGGGCCCTAAGTCCGGCTCGCACCCGCACAGTTGGACCCGAAGTCCGGCTCGCACCCGCACAGCTGGACCCCTAAGTCCGGCTCGCACCCGCACAGCTGGACCCTAGGTCGGGCTCACACCCGCACAGCTGGGCCCTAGGTCGGGCTCACACCCCCACAGCTGGACCCTAGGTCGGGCTCGCACCCGCACAGCTGGACCCTAGGTCGGGCTCGCACCCGCACAGCTGGGCCCTAGGTCG